CTGTTTGTACTAAGACTGCATCCTATCTATCATGGGTCTAGACCTCACCGAGGCCACAGAGTTTCTCACAGTTACTCAGTCTGTCAAATTACCTAAACCTGCCGTAACACACTATTAGCGACTTATTAACTTATTTGTCTTTATTTGCCCTCTAAAACGGGCCACGTGGTGGATGTGTTGGATCAGCACAGGGACCAGATCAGGGTCCCTCATGCGGTATTGGGCTGTGCACCCATAAGAAATGCCACGCATGGAAATGGAGAGCACGCCTAGGTGCACGCGCACTCCGCGCCAACCTCCTGCGCCAGATTCCGCCTTCGATCTTCTTGACTCTGTCATGACAACGATCTTGGGTAGGTAAGGGGGAGAGAGTGTGGTAGACGCGGCAAAAAATATACTATTAGTGTAAGCTTATTAACACGCAAGTCACTATCTCTGCTCCCGCAATGCTGTTGGGCATACAGGAGACATCGTCGGAATCGATAAACAGACTGTCGATATGCCCTGGTGATGGATTCTCCCGAATCGGTTACACTGTTTCTTCTACCGTGTGCTAGTCACATGTCCAAGCCTTTACGCCTACGGGAGAAGGGTGGTTGGGCGTAGTGGTTTATTTGGCATCCGGCTCTCTCAAATGCATATTGGACAATAGTTAGGGACCCTGGCAGACTCAGCACAACGCGACAAATGCTACCATGCGACAATGTAGCCCCCGTCTCGGCCCAGTGCAATGGCGGCGCAGCCCATCAGGAGGGCACAATGCTGCTACTCTTACTGCTGTCTCTACTGCGGCTGACGAACTGCATAATGAGTGTATGAAAGTTGTCAGGTGCTGCCTGACGGCTCCGACTTAACAAACATGACATAGGAAGTCTTCGAAATACGCCAAACTGACTTTCTATTTCTCGTTTTTCGTGAATGAAGGCACAGAAAATCGTCCTTTCTGGTTGTCTCTTTAACCTAGTTCTTTAGAATCGAACTTGCACCTTCGTTATTATTTACGCTTTAGTTTTGTCTAATCCAACGTCCTGTAAGCACTTGATCACACATCGGAGTTCCGTTCGGCCACCTTATGTTTTTTATTTGGGTATTTTCCAGTGTCCCACGCCTCACGGCTAGGAGGTTTGCGCACTGCTATTTTGAGAGTGTCTTTTAAAATTTGTTTGCGTCTAGGCCTGGTGTTTTCAAAAGAAGTTGCTCATAAGTAACATTTGACTGTCCTTTTTTCAGAGGGCCGGCCTTCTCGCGTTGAGAGGGTCATAGCTGTACAAAATCGATTTGTTTCCTTATTTCCCGAGGCTGCCTTGTTGGAGTTTCCTTTGTCACGTAAACACGCAAACACATCATTTTGTCCCATTCCTTTCTCCTTTTTTTTACTGTTCCACCAACATTTATCCTCCTTCTAGATGTGCGAACGGCGAGAGGAAGTCGATGCTGAGCAGGCGCTCGCTGACATGATTTACCTAACTGCCAATGACCGATTGATTGACAGACTCATAAAGGAATGTGCCGGTGGTCCCTGACCGTCATGATGTCCGGCATTTTCATGTGCTTGAACTTCTTTTATAAACTTACGAATTATTGCTGTCTGCGCGTATTCTTTGAAATTCTTTTATTTACTTGGGGGAATTCAATCATCGGGTTCAGGCATCCAAACACCTATTTGACCCAGCGTACCCGCAAATGGCAGGTAATGAAACAGGCTTGAGCAGAGGCCAGCTACGAAATGAGCAGACCTCCCAGCTTGGAAAATTAACTGTTGTGGACCATTCAGCGGTAGTACCTTCAGTTGTGGATGGGTAACCATCTTGTAGGCCATTTGCCCGTAATATCGCAAGCGGCAGTCATATTCTGAGTTGGCGGACGCTATTACTACCTTCCAACAATCCTAAAGCATTTGATTGCCGGGCCGTAGGGATGGAAGGAGATCCCTACCTTTGAATCTAGAAACTTTGTAATCATCCCTCTATCAAGGCGCTCCACAACTAACTGCTGTCTGGCGTTACGGTTTAACCGGTTCGGTCATACTGTAGGTCTCTGTTTTGATTTGGCTATGGATAATGCCCCTAGGGGTACATGTATACTCTCTCAACAAACTGAACCAAACAAGAATGCCATTTTACAGATTAAGGTTCGATGACGTAAGACGATATCATCGAAAAAGTTAGCGGAATTGCTGCTCCTAGCATGTACAGTAGATATGCTACCTCATGGAAAGTTAACCGAAATTTTGAAATGCGTTTTCAATTCAAAAGGATTACTTAAGTATAGTTTTCCTGTTAATTACTGCGTCGCATAATCTCAAAATATCCTAACTACGCCAGGATGCCAGCTTTTGGATAAGCTTGTCGACCGCTGGCATCAGCCGCATTCCGTAAAAAATGGTTA